TATATCTCATGATAAAAAATAACCAAAAAAAATTCCTGCTTTTCTTTATATTTTTTTTATTTATTTTTTTAATCCAATTTCGTTTTTGATTTTTTTAAAAATCCTAAACAAAGTCAGATTCAAAAACAAAAAATATGGAGTTGTAGGGCTTAAAATTCCCTACAACCCCATTTTTTTAATTTTTTTTTTACCTATTATTTAATTCAGGAAAATTCGTGTAAAATCGTGTCCGCGGTGCGGACGAGGTAGGCCGCGGATGCGGACCCATTTGGGTCCGCGATCCGAGCTCGACCCCGCGGAAGCGTCCGCGGGTGTTTCGTAACTTGAGAGTCATCGCGAATGCGAGCAGCTCCTTCTTCCTTGCATCATCAAGCGAGTTGATGGGAGGCACTTTGTGGCTGAACTACTCCACAGGGTGCCTGTCGTCGCCGTCGTGCTGTTCCAAGACTGCCCCAATGCCATAGCCGGAAGCGTCCGTAGTCACTCGCGTCGGCAGGGTGGGGTCATAGATGCTAAGGATGGGTGCCATGACAATAGCCGTCTTAAGTGCTTGGAATGAGCGGCGTGCGTCGTCATCGAATACGAATGGCAACTTTGGCGACTGTAACCTCGTCATAGGTGCAGCAATCCTGGAGTATCCGGTGATGAATGGCTGATAGTAGCCCGCCAACCCCATGAATGAATGAACGTCCGTGGTGTTGGTGGGCTCGGGCTATACTCGTAGGGCCTCGATTTTGTCCGCAAGCGGACGGATGCCTTGCGGCGTCACATAGTGTCCCAAGTACTCCAGCTCTTGCTGTGCGAACTCGCACTTGTCGCAGTTTGCTTTGTACTTGGCCTGTCGTAGCCGCTCCAAAACGGTGCGCAGGTGTTCCACATGCTCGTCCAGACTCCGGCTGTAAACCAGAATGTCGTCGAGGTAGATAAGTACGAAACGATCCAGCATGTGTCGGAACTCCGTCGTCATAGCCGCTTGGAAAGTGGCTGGGGCATTCGTAAGGCCAAATGGCATGACCAGCCATTCGAAATGGCCATACTGTGTCTTGAACGCGGTCTTGTAACGATCCTCCTTGCGAATCTCGAGTTGGTGGTACCCTGACTTGAGATCCAGCTTTTAGAAGAACTGGGCGCCGCCCAATCGCTCGAGAAGGTCGTCGATGCGTGGGAGAGGGTCGGCGTTCCTGATCGTCTGCGCGTTGAGCTTACGATAATCGATGCACAACCGCAGGTCCTTGTTCTTCTTCCGGACGAAGAGAACAGGAGCACCGTATGGCGATGAACTAGGCCGAATCCAGCCTTTCTCTAGAAGGTCGTCGAGTTGTGCCCGAAGCACACTTGACTCTTCCTCGCTCATTCGGTAGATGCAACCGCGCGGAGGTACGGCCCCGTCCTCGAGGATGATCTCGCGGCGGATGGGTCGATCCGATACTACTCTTTGCGGGCCTTCGAACACGTCGCTGTAGGCGTCGAGAAGTTCGGTGATGCGTGGGTCCGAAGGTGAGTCCGTCGATGAAGCGTCATGGGGCAGGAGGGCGTGGAGAAAACACACCCCCATCTCCTCGATGTCGTCTCTGATGATGGAAGCTCGCATGCTTGCGGCGGATACCACGTGGCAGCTGATCGAAGGATGAGGAAGAGGCACCGTGCATGGAACTAATACTCCGTTCCGGTCACGAACGTGAACGGTGCRGTTGAAGAAGTTCACCGGGTGATCCTTGCTTCGCAGCCATAACATGCCCAAGATCATGTCGAATTTGGTATCCAGAATGTCAAAGGACACCACCTCACTTTCGTGAGGGGCAAAGTACACTRGGACGGCGTCAATGCACCGGTCGATGGACTTGTGCGTATGACCGTCTGCCAGAGTGACTTGCGTAGGCTGGGACTTCCTCCGGACACGTGGGCCAAGGCCGACGCGTACCATAAAGTCCTGGCTGATGTAGTTGCGAGATGCTCCGCAATCGATCAAGGCACTGCAGGTTGCCTGTCCGATCTGAATGCGTACGTATAGCAATGGTGCGTCGATGTTGTCGTACCGTTGCGTCTTGAACTCGCGGTCGATCTTCGCGATGTAAACGTGAAGGTCGACAACCTCTACTCCGGCATCCACCAACGGAGCTGGTTCTGCAGTGTGCAAGTAGTCCCGCAATTGTGCCATAAGCACGTTGCAATGCGGTTTCGGCAATCGTCCGGTCGAGGGAACGGGCATCCACTGGAAGTCCGTGAACGTCAATGGGTCGAGCTCTTCAAGTCTTGACCATGACGTCGAATCCCCGACGATAGATTGCGGCGAAGCTGCCGAATCGGTTGTCGATGGTGATGAAACCGTGCATGCGGTGGACTGTTG